AAAGAAAGAAAGAAAGAAAGAAAGAAAGAAAGAAAGAAAGAAAGAAAGAAGAGGGTAGGGAGGAAGGGAATTCTGGCTTCCAGCATTGATGATGTTATCTAGTTGGGTCATGAAACGTCTGCAAGAAAACCATTGTAACTTCAAATGGCCACACAACAAAAGATTGTAAGTCGAGGCCCAAGTGTATTCTATAACTTTGTGGTTTTCACTGAGGCCATGTTCTAGTCCCATCCTAGGCATGAAAGCCAATTGGAGGACTTTGGGCCAATCACCAGATGTGAGTTCTAGTCCTGCCTTAGGCACAAAAGATGCCTGGGTGACTTTTGAGCCAATCATTTTCTCTCATATCAACCATACTAACAGGATTGTTATGATGTGTGAAATAGGAGGAGGAAGGAAGAAGTATTAAGATACGTTCACCGCCTTGCATTGTTTATAAAAAAATATATATCTAAGAGCAGAATATAAAATAAATAAACATGTGTTGTTCTTTTCCCATAGGTTGTGGAAGTCTTTGGGATAGCATTAACTGCTGGCCCGCCGCAAATTTGGGGGAAACAAAAGTGTTGTCCTGTCCTCTCTTTTTCACCTACTTTTCAAAAATTCAAGGTAAGTTGAACTAAAGATTGTTGTTTTTTCCCCAAAAAATTGATCAGTAGAATTTTGTGCTGTGCATAAAGGTCTCTGGGATGCAATCTATCAGTTGACCTCCAGATGGCATGGAAGAACAAGGAAATGCTCTGAACTCTTTGCTGCCATCCAATGATTCTCATAATTATTGCAATTTTAGGTGAAATAGTCTTAATTCTCTAGTTTGGCCAATCTAGTGCCTTTTAGTAGCATAGAAGCTAAAATCAGAAGGCATCTGATTTTCATGACCATTTTTCCCATGCCTGTTAAGTGGATCAGAGGAGCTGCTAAATGAATCATGAGGTTGTTAAATGAATCCGGCTTTCCCCAGCGGTGATCCTGTGATCCTGGGATACTATATCATAAATACATACTGGTTGCCAAGTTCCCAATTTTTGATCACATAATACTGCAGAGTTCTTAAGTGTGAGGACTGGTCATAAGACACATTTACTTGTACCATTGTAACTTCAAATGATCACAAAGCGAATAGTTGTAAGTCAAGGACTATCTATAGAAACGGCTCAGACATAACCACGTGTTAAGATGGGCGGTTAATAGATTTTACAAATAAATCAGGTAGTCCTCAAATTATGACCAAAATTGAACCCACAGTTTCTGTTGCTAAGTGAGGCAGTTATTCAGTGAGTTGTGCCTCATTTTGCAACCTTTCTTGCCACAGTTAAGCGAACTACTGCACTTGTTAAGTGACTAACATGGTCGTTAAGCGAAACTGGTTTCCCCATTGACGTTGCTTGTCAGAAGATCACATGACCACAGGACATGGCAACTGCCATAAGTACATGCCAGTTGCCAAGTATCATATTTATAACGATTACATTATCCCTTTTGCGACCATCTGACAAGCAAAACTAGCAACAGTGGCAAGAACGATATTAAAATAGGGCAAAAACTCACTTAACGACTGTCTTGCTCAGCAGTGGAAATTTTGGGCACAATTGTGGCCGTAAAGTCTTTACAAGAAAGTGGAATTAGCGTATTTGATCTGATTCCTATCTTCTTTACCCTGCCAGCCCTAAATTGGAAAGAGATTTATTTGTTTGGGGTTTTTTGCTCATGGATTTATTCCAACGGCAAGCCAAGATAAAGATCGTGGTTAAATCTTTAGGATGCTTGAAACAATAAGCTGATAATTTAGACCGCACACTTTGTGCCCTCACCGCAAACTCTTTATGCCATGATATCCATCGCGGGCAACCAATCTTGACTGGCATAATCATCCCAGAACAAATTGTTGTCGTTGGTGTGGAAATAGGATACCATTTGGTGGTGTGACGGCTGAAATTACCGGTGGCATCCTGGCGACTTTCAGAAAAAGCTATGAATATCATACATCTTAAAGACTGTCAAAAGAGCAGGCTTTTCATTAGCAGGCAGGCAGCTGTTTGGTCGAAAGGGCTAAGTTTTCTTCACACTGAGAGCCAATGATTAAATTATCCCTAGATAGGAAAAGGAAGATGGACGATGGAAGAGAATACTGGCTTGAATTGTGAGGTCCTGGGTGCTCTCTGATCTGGGTGGTTTTCTTGCAGTCGTTTCATGACCCAACTAGGGCACATCATCAGTGCTTGGGGGCGGGGGAGGAAGAGGAAGAAGAAGAGGAAGAGGAGGACTGTAGGGTCCTTGGAGCCCTCTGAAGTTGGTTGTTTACTTGCAGACATTTCATGACCCAACTAGGGAACATCATCAGTGCTAGAAGAGAAGAAGAGGGGGAGAGGAGGAGGAGGAGGACTGTAGGGTCCTTGGGGGGTCTCTGAAGTTGGTTGTTTATTTGCAAACGTTTCATGACCCAACTAGGTAACATCATCCGTGCTAGGAGGGGTGGGGAAGGGATATGAGGAGGAGGACTGTAGCGCCCTTGGTGGTCTCTGAACTTGGTTGTTTTCCTGCAGACATTTCATAGCCCAACTAAGTAATCTCATCAGTGGTAGAAGAGAGTGGGGTTGTGGGGAGGAGGAGTGGGGAAAGAGGAAGAGAGGGAGGAGTACTGTAGGGTCCTTGGTGGTCTCTTAGCTTAACTGTTTTCCTGCAGACATTTCATAGCCCAACTAGGTAACCTCATCAGTGCTAGAAGGGAGCAGGCGTTCTAGCATCCTCAGTGCTTATATTCTTACCTGGTTGGGTTATGTAATGTTTGCAGGAAAGTAACCAAGCTCAGAGAGCGGAAAGGAGTCCGCATTTTCTTACTTACCTTCTTTCTTCTGAGTACAGGAAGTCCTCGATTTGCAACTGGTTGGTTAGTGGCTGTTCGAAGTTGTACTGATTCCCCCTCCCCAAAATAAATAACCCTACATATAACCCAGATCTGAAGTTCTGACATCCGGGCATTTCCACCCCTGGTCGTGTGACTACGTTTTGCGTGCTCAGTAACTGGCCTGCATTACAGCCATTGACAATTATGGTCACACAATTGCAATTCATGATATTTTTGCTGGAAACCTGTTCCTGATAAATAAATAAATCCACATTTGAAGGTACAGTACTGAGAAGAAGAAGAAAGAACTTAGGATTGTTTTTCACACTTGTGACCGTTGCAACATTCTCATGGTCACTTGATCAAAATTTGAACCCTTGGCAACTGTCTCGTATTTATGACGGTCATAGTGTCCTGGAGTCACGTAATCCCCTTTTGTGTCTTGAGAAGCAAAATCAACAGGATCCACATAGCAACCGTCTTATTAACAACTGCAGGGATTCATTTAACAACTGCGGCAATAAAATGGGACAAAACTCACTGAATGGCTGCCTTGCTTAGTCGTGGAAATTAGGGGCTCAATTGTGGTTGTAAGTCGAGGATTATCGGGTTCATATACATACATATATGCAGCCTACATCAAGGCAAAATGGGTTCATTTAAGGAACATCATATATAGCTTTACAATGGCTTCATTCTTTTTATGACCACCATGCTCACTTAATGACCAGTGCAAAAAAAAAAGGTTGTAAAATCAGCTGTAAGCACAACAACCATCATGACTCATGCCCAAAATTGTGGGCTCAATTACCGTTGTAAGTCGAGGACTGCCTGGAGCAGAATAGTTAGGGCAATAAAACGTTACTCGGCGGTGCCATGAAATGCAATTTTTGTGTAGCACACCAGCGTGTTTTGCAGCTGCCATCTCCTGCCCTGTGTAGAACTATCGCCATAGGCATTCTTGTTTTTTATTCCATCCCAGATCAACAGTTTCTCCTTTTTTTCCCCTTCCTGGCCTCGAAATGTTATTTTGCTATCTCTATTTCTGTGTTGAGTGACAAACCAGGAAATGCCTCAATCCCTAATGCAAACACACATGGATCATTGTGTCCTCCGAATGCACCATCCCGCCCCAGAATTAATCATGGTGGTCCCCACAAGACAGTAACAAATCTAAATATTTCTTTTATGCTTTCCAGTTTTGAGCGTTTTGCATTTTGATTCTGAGGTCTTTGGGTGTTTTGGCTCACATTTTCTTGTGGGGAGGGGAGCGAATCAAGCTGAATAATAGAATAGAATAGGATTCTTTTATTGGCCAAGTGTGATTGGACACACAAGGAATTTGTCTTTGGTGCAAATGCTCTCAGTGTATATAAAGGGAAAAAAATACATTCATCAATAATCATAAAATACAACACTTGGTGATAGTCATAGGTTACTAATAAACAATCGAATCATATTAGGAAACAAATAAAACAATATAAATTGTAAAGATACAAGCCACATGGTTATAATCATAAGTGGGAAGAGGGAGGTACTAGGAAGTGTTATTATAATCTAGCAGTCGAGGAATAATAGTAATACAGTCTTAGTAAATAAGTTGACAGTGTTTTGGGAATTAAGTTGTTTAGCAGAATGATGGAATCCAGGAAAAACTCTCCTTGTGTCTAGTTGTTCTGGTGTGCAGTGCTCTGTATAGCGTCGTTTTGAGGGAAGGAGTTGAAACAGTTTATGTCCAGGATGTGAGGGGTCTGTAAATACTTTCACAGCCCTCTTTTTGATTCCTGCAGTATACAGGTCCTCGATTAAAAGCAGGTGGGTAGCCATTGTTTTTTCTGCAGTCCTAATTACCCTTTGAAGTCTGTGTCTGTCTTGTTGGGTTGCAGAACCAAACCAGACAGTTATAGAGGTGCAGATGATAGACTCAATAATTCCTCTGTAGAACTGGATCAGCAGCTCCTTGGGCACTTTGAGCTTTCTGAGTTGGCGCAGAAAAGAACATTCTTTGTTGTGCTTTTTTGATGACGTTTCTGATGTTAGGTGTCCATTTTAGGTCATGAGATATAGTAGAACCTAGAAATTTGAAGGTCTCTACTGTTGGTACTGTATTGTCCAGTATTGTAAGAGGTGGTAGTATGGGAGGGTTTCTTCTAAAGTCTACCACCATTTCTACGGTTTTGAGCATGTTCAGTTCCGGATTGTTCCGGTGACACCACGAGGCTAGTTGTTCAACCTCCTGTCTGTATGCAGATTAAATAAAGAATTTAATGCAGAGCACATCCAAATAAAATTAATTATGAATGAAGGCAGATAGATATACACTTTTCCAGAATAATGTTGCAGGATCCAATCTGAGACCAGAGGTTTTGTCTTTTCCAAGCTTTTGGGCTCTGCTGGAGCCCATCTGTTTTAGAATATCTGTTATTATGGGCTATTCTGTCCTTCATATTTAAATGGTGCCTGGTTGTGAATGGCATTTTGGTTGTTGATTGGGGTATTGATGGCTAGCTATTAAGGCTGTTGTTTCCTTGTGCTGCCAAGCCCTAAGTACCTTATAAGCCAGCAAACCAGCACTCCTGTTGACTGACAAGGGGCTCGTTTCCCAGGCTTCAATTATTTCCCTGGCTGTTTTTGTACCTATTCTGCCAACAATCTTAATAGCCGTGAAAGTGAATGTATGTCGTTCATTTGATTCACCAACAGCTGGTGACTTGGCAGCATAAGGAAACAACAGCCAACAACTTAGTAGCTGGCCATCAGATAACAGATAATTAGAGTTGGAAGGGACCTTGTAGGTCATCTAGTCCAACCCACTGCCCAAGCAGAAGACCCTACACTATTTCTGACAGATCTCTTCTTGAAAGCTTCCAAGGATGAAGCTCCCACAACTTCCGAAGGCAACTTCTGTTCCATGGGTTGATGGTTCTTCCTGTCAGAAAATTCATCCTTATTTCTAGGTTAAATCACTCCTTGTTCAGTTTCCATTCATTATTCCTTGTGTGGCCTACAGGCGGTTTGGAAAATAGCTTGACCCCTTCCTCCCTGTGAAAGCCCCTCAAATATTGGAAGACCGCTATCATGTCTCCCCTGGTCCTTCTCTTCACTAGACCAGCCAAGCCCAGTTCCTGCAACCGTTTGTTGTATGTTTTAGCCTCCAGTCCCCTAAATCATCCTGGTTGCTCTTCTCTGCACTTTTTCTAGAGTCTCAACATCCTTTTTTATAGTGTGGTGACCAAAACTGGATGTAGTACTCTTAGTGTGGCCTTACTAAGGCTTTATAGAGTGGTATTAGTACCTTACCTGATCTCAATTGTATCCTTCTGTTAATGCAACTTAGGGTTGCATTGGCTTTTTTGGCTGCTGCTGCACACGGCTGGCTCATATGTAGCTGGTTGTCCACTAAGACTCCAAGATCCCTCTCAATGGCCGTTGCAGAATCCTTATGATCACAGGATCAAAATTCCGGCACTTAGCAACCGACTCATATTTATGACAGTTGCAGTGTCCCGGTGTGTGTGCGTGTGCGTGTGTGTGTCACACAATCCCTTTTGTGACCGTCTGACAAGCAGTCAGTGGGGATTCACTTAGCAACCGTGTGACTAATGTTACAACTGCAGGGATTCCCTTAACAAACTCTGGCAAGAAGGGTTGTAACGTGGAGCAAAATTCACTCAGCAAATGTTTCGCTTAATCATGGAAATTTTGAGCTCAGTTGTGGTCACAAACCGACTACTTGTCTAAAAGTGTCTAAATATGGAACTTCCTGAAATGTAAAAAAAGAAAGAAAAAGATTGCAGATTGAAGTTGCAAATCTCTCTATTTTTTTTATCAATTTAATCAAATTTTCATACCACCCACCTTGATATCTGAGTGACTCTTGAGTGCTTTACAGGCTTAAAAAAATATGCAAAATCTTTGCAAAGTTGGACTTTACAATGTGGAGACAGAGTCCTAGTCTAGTCCTTTTCAGTGGGACGGGTAGTCCTTGACTTACAACCATTGATTTAGTGACTGTTCAAAGTTGCAATGGCACTGAAAAAGAGTGACTTACGAGAGTTTTCCACACCTATGACCATTGCAGCATCTCCATGATCACGTGATCAAAATTTCGATGCTTGGCAACAACCGATTCATATTTATGACGGTCACAGTTGTGTGATCCCCTTTTGACAAGCAAGGTCAACAGGGAAGTAAGATTCACTTAACAACCGTGTTACTAACTTAACAACTGCAGTGTGTCAGGATTCCAGCAATCACCCTTGTTAAATCATGATTCTCGAACCAAACTTCAAAAAACTCCAAAGGATTCCTTAGAGGCGACACACTGGCCCTGCCCTGGATGAAGCCAACTCTGGCCTACGTCATTTACAGTCCCCTGTGACCCCGTTTCCCCCCTATCCCCCTGGGTGTGTCATAAATCACATTCTCCAATTGAGCACGTTCACAGGCTGAGTGCCATCAATCACGTTCTCCAATTAAATATATTTGCGGGCAAAAGCTCTGGTATTTTAGTTACAATCTTTTAAAGATAAAGAGTTGGCATGTACTTCCGCTTTCAAACTGCTGCACTGCTCTTCCAGGTTTCCTTCCTTCCACCACCAACCCCTTTGTTTTTTGAATGGCAACTACTAAAACAGTCATAGGAATGTTTTATGAGTTGACACAGTGATTCACTTGCTAACTTTTGCAAGAGCGACCGTAAAATCCGACAAAACTCACTTAACTGTCTTGCTTTAACAATACAAGTTGTGGTCATAAGTCAAGGACTGCCTGTGGTAACTGACACTATAAATCTAGGCGGGGTGGGCACATTTCATGATCTTCCTCTGTTGCCCATCTAGGTAACGTCAGCAGGAACTGCACCAGGGATGGCTGGTCAGATATTTATCCTGCCCCGTATCCAGTGGCTTGTGGGTATGACCCCAACATGACAATCAGTGAGGAACAGGTCAGTAGAAGGGGAATCGAGTCGGGTAGGAGGGGTGAGGGGTGGAAAGGAAAGGAAAGAAAGAGAGAGAAAGAAAAAGAAAAATTGGGAGCGGGGGGAGGAAGGAAGGATGGAAAGGAATAAAGAAAGGGAGAAAAGGAAGGAAGAGAGAAGGAAGGAAAGAAAGAGAGAGAAGAAAGAGAAAGGGAGGGAGGGAGAGAGGAAGGAAAAGAGGAAGGAAGGAAGAAAAGGAAGGAAGGAGAAGATAAATGGAAGGAAGAGAGGGAAGGAGGGAAGAAGATGAGGAAAGAAAGAATAGAGGGAGGGGGAAGAGGAGGAGGAAGGAAAGAAGGGAAAGGAAGAGAGATAAATGGGAAAGAAAAAGAAGAGAGGGAAGGGAAGAAGGAGAGAGAAAGAGAAAAGAAGACCAAGTTGACTAAAAGGGCTTTATCTAGTTGTGTCCCAGTTTTTTTATTATTACAAATATCTCAAAACGGCAAACATATCAAAAAAAATGTCCTCCTCCTATTTTCCCCATAACAACAACCCTGTGAGGTGGGTTGGACTGAGAGAAAGAGCAACTTGTCCAAAGTCACCCAGCCGGCTTCCATGCCTAAAGGCGGGAGTAGAACTCACCGTCTCCTGGTGATTGGCTCAAAGTCACCCAGCCGGCTTCCATGCCTAAAGGCGGGATTAGAACTCACTGTCTCCTGGTGATTGGCTCAAAGTCACCCAGCTGGCTTTATGGCAGAGTCAGCACTTGAACTCACAGCTTCCTGTTTTTCAACCTGCTGGCTTAACCACTGGACCAAACTGTTTCTCTTGTGTATTTGAAGGATGGAAGCATGATTGCTCCAAGCAGGGCATAGCTGGGATCCCTGCAGGACAGTTGTGTTGCCGTTCTTGGGGTTGGGATTATATCACTGAAATCTACTCTACGTAAGGCCCAGCCTGTGGGTAGTACTCAGCTTACAACAGGCCTAATATCAAGCGAGTTGCTCCCAATTTTACCACCTTTTCTGCCGTGGTTGTAAAACGAATCATTGCAGTTCTTAAATGAATCAGTCGTGAAGCGAATCCGTCTTTTCCCCATTGACTTTGCTTGTCAGAAAGTGGATGGAAAATTTTTGATGCAACGGTCGTAAGTGCGAGGACCGATCGTTTTCAGCACCGTTTTAAGTTTGAGTGGTCGGTAAAGGGATTATTGTAAGTCAAGGACTCCGTAGAGCCGTCTGGGCAAAAGATTTGCACTTAATGGCTTCTCGGTTCATTTAATTAGGCAATTAACCCTCAACTTACAAAGATTCATTTACTGACCGTTCAAGATTACAGCGGCCCTGAAAAAAGAGACTTACGACCGCTCACATGATCAAAATTCTGACGCTTGGCAGCCAACCCACATTTATGACAGTTGCAGTGTTCCAGGGATCACGGGATTCCCCTTTTGCGACCTTCTGACGAGTGAAGTCCATGGGGGGGGATCCAGATTCACTTAAGGACTGTGTTAACTCACTTAACAACTGTAGTGGTTCACTTAACAATGGTGGCAAAGATAGTGCATAGAATGGGGCAAAACTCCCTTTAGAAATGTCTCAGTTAATGTTCTGACCCAAACCTGTAAACAGCAAAACCTTTAAATTTTTCTTTTCAAATCCCGTTCCTTCCCGGTTAAAAGGCTGTTTCAAACGAATTGTCTCTGATAAGAATGAGCCTTGCCAAGGTGGTGCAAGGCTGCCAAGAACACTAGATAAAGTTACTAAGAAGTATTTCAAACACAAAGAGTCTCCAAACACCAACCATGATACTCCGAACGTCCACAAGGCTTGAGTGCAAAAACTTCTTTGCTTCCTGCAAAGGACTCCGGTTTCTCAGCTGGCTTTTATCTCTTAAAGGAGGGGCCATCCCCTTGCAGTCTTACTCCCGAGTCGCCTGTGCTGCTGCAGCTGCTGTTTCCTTCCAATAGCCCTGTGGGCACGCGCACTGGGCACAGGCTCCTCGGGGGACTCTTCATCACTGCTGCCAGCCTCCACAATCTCCAAAGGCAACGCTCCACTCCCTGATGATCCTGGTCCCATCCCTGTATCACATGCAGGTCTCCGAGACCTCAGCCATCCACACCTGCTGCCAGCGAGCCACAACAGTTATCAATAGAAATTTTGGGCTCAGTTGTGGTCGTAACTCAAGGACCACCTGGATTTGTCAAACCAGATAAAAGTGTTGACCGCTTTGTTGTGCTTCTCTCTCTCTCTCTCTTTCTCCGCAGAGTGCCGTCTTCTACGGCACAGTGAAAACTGGATACACAATCGGGCACAGTTTGTCTCTCATTGCTCTGATAGTGGCCATGATGATTCTCTGCGTCTTCAGGTAATGGGGAATCACCTGGCCCCCGGGGGGGAGGGGCACAGAGGTTGGGTTTCTTCACCCCCAAGTACAGGTAGTCCTCAACTTATGACCACGAAATTGAGACCCCAATTTCCACGGCTAAGCAAGAGGTTAAGTCTTAAGTTTTTGGTTTCTTTACCCCATGTTACAAACTTTCTGGCCACTGTTGCTCAGTGAATCCGTGCACGGTTGTTAAGTGAACTCCCCCAGCGACTTCGCTCATCAGTAGGTCGCCAAAGGGGAATCAACGTGACCTTTGGGACACCAGCAACGGTTGTAAATTGGAACCTATTGCCAGGCATCCGAATTTCGATCAGGAATGCTGCAATGGCCGCAGGTGTGAAAAAGGGCCATCACATCACTTTTTCCAGGGCTTTTGGATCTTTTGTCACTAAATGAATGGTTGAAAGTCGAGGACTGTTTCTCAACCATTACAACTTGAAGATATGTGGACTTTTTTAGCTTCTTTCTCTCTTCCTTCTTCTACTTCTTCTCCCTCTTCTTCTGATTCTTCTTTTTCCTTTTCCTTCTCCTTTACCCTTTTCTTCTCCTTCTTCTTCTCCATCTCCTCCTTTCTTTTCTTCCTCTTCTCCCCTTTTCTTTCTCCTTCACCTCCTCTCTCCTCCTCCTCCTTTCTTCCTCTTCTTCACCTCCTTTTTCTTCTCCTTCTTCTTCTCCATCTCCTCCTCCTTTCTGTTCTTCCTCTTCCTCTTCTCCTCCCCTTCTTTTCCTTCTCCTTCGCC